TGATGTAAGGACCACCACCCATGTCCGGCACTGTCCGGCACAGGGCAGGCCTTCCAGGACCCCCAAGCTCTGATGTAAGGACCACCACCCATGTCTGGCACAGGACAGCCGCCGCTGCTCCTGGCACCACGGAGGCCTGCCTGCCGCGTCACAGCCAGGTGAAGAGGTGAGCCTCCTGGGGCAGGCCCCCGCGAGGGCTCACCTGCCATGCTTGTTCTGCAAGGACCCATCTCCTGTCTGGTTGATGCCCGTCAGTGTGACGCCATCAGCCGCCTTCTTCTTTTCTCTCCGGCTGAGCGTTCGATTCAGGTCTGCGGACCAATCCTGGGCAACGGGAATTGGGAAGTCCATGTGTCAGAAAGCAGGTGGGTTTAGAACACGAGACCTGAAAGCCAACCTTCCGCCCTCATGACTGGCTGCCGTCTACTTCCCCGTCTGCCAGAAGACCTCAGGCACCTGACCAACTAAGGCCAACTAGGGATGCCTCCTCAAAGGGTACGGTGCCAGCCCAGTTATACCAGGGGCAAGGGTGGGCAATGACAATGACAAAGCAGGGCTGCCCACGCAGTCCTGAGTCTTGATCCTGCCTGGCATGGCCGCAGCTCCTCTGGTTTATGTCTCTGGTTCACAGCGGGCCAAGGGCCCTGGACTACAGATGACCTGGGGGCCCAGTTGCTACTGCCCACTGAAAGGGCAGAGTACCAGCAGACTGGTGCCAGTCTGCACACCATGTCGTGTGACCACTGGGCTGCCTGGGAACTTTCCTGCTGCCCTGACAACTCACCCAGCTCCACCCCGGGGGCTGCCACTTCCTAGCACTTAGGGCCTTTATCAGCGCACAGAGAGCTGGCAAGGGGGGGGGGGGCGGCCAGGGGAGGGGGCTACGGGCTCACTTTCCAGCAGTGTCTATGTCTACACTTTCTTCTGATGGAGTCTCCTTCCCTCCACCCGTCCATAAGCTGCCCTGCTCACGCGGATTCACAGAGCTCCCTCAGCCACTGCAAGCCCACATCTCGTCTGTCCAGTTGTCAGAGGAGAAAACTGAGACCCAGGAAGAAAAGGCCATGTGCCCACCCATGTCTACTAAAGTGTCTCCTGGCAGATAGAGTGCTGAATGGAACTGGGACCTCTGTATCCCCAGTGACCTTTCAAACAGAAGCATGCTGATGGGCAGGAGACCCAAATACCAGGGGGACCCGGATGGAAGGGCAGCTACTGTGTAACACCTTCCACAACAAAAACAGCATCGCCCACCACAGTTCTGTGACCCGCACTGGTCCCCTCTGTTGTTCTTGTTAGGTGCCGTCAAATCAGTTCCGATTCACAGCAACCCTCTACCGGGTTTCCAAGGAGCACATGGTGGATTTGAACTGCCAACCTAGTGGTTCACAGTCCAGTGCTGATCCTACATCCCCACCCCACCCTACATGCCCCCAAATGGCTGCAGTGAGCGAGTCAGCCAGAAAACAGAAACTTACTTCGTCCTTGTGGCATGTGGGAAAAAAACAACAATTTTGTTAGAGAGAGCCACACGAGACCTGGTCTGGGTTTGGCTTTTTTGGTGGGTGCACAGGAGACACAAATCCGTGGGCCCTAGGCTGCCATCTGCACAGGGGGGAGAGGTCTGTCCCTGTCCCCGGAGGGCCTCTACTTGGGGGGCCCAGCCCTGCTTTCCTCTGTGGAAGTGGCTTCCTACCAGGAACAGGGGGGCTGTGTGGAGAAGCACAGGGGTGGGGGGGACTGGAAGCCCCCCAGACTAGGAGGGGACCACAGAGCATGCTGTGCACTGGACCAGGTCCTGGGCTGAGAACTCCCCATAACCTGAGAACACAGGTGCTGTTGGCACCCCCAGTTCACATGTGGTCAAACCGAGTCACAGAAAAGGCAGCTGCTCTGCTTCACCTGCTGTACAGCTGGGGCCTCACCCAGTCAGGGGAAGCCTGCCAGCCCTGGGACAGCAGGACCCGAGGGCCCTCCTTCTGCACCGCCATCGGGAGTCTGGGGGTGGCTGTGACCCCGTCCTAAAGCTGGAAGAATCGTGAACTGTATAAGCCCCTTGCCTTTTGCATCAGAAAGATACTGGCACGTTCAGACCCACAAAAATGGAAGAAAGTGAACAACTCATCCCCAACATTTACTGGTTGAATTTATGATCAGAAACACATAAAAGGCCTGCGTGAGAGGTCAGGAGAGCCCCTTTGTCCTCTCCCTTCCCCCCACCCCTTTAGGGCTGGGAACCATAAAGGGAGGGCCACCAGGCAAGCAAGGTCCAGTCAGACATTCTCCACTGCAGCTCCCATGGGGCTCCAGAGGCTCAGCAGCGATACCTACGTCCCCTGGGCCCCTGGACACCCACGTGTCGATATGGCAGGTGGGCATAAAGGTTTTTGCTCTGAGTATGGAACATTCAGAAACACCATCTCCTGGAGACTCAGTGAGCCCAGCCCCTCTTCCCATGGCTTCCCTTACCTCAAACTGCGGCCAGTTCATGGACATGCCAGGCCCGTGGTTCGCTCGGAACCATCTGAGGTCCTCCACTGCATCTGCAGTTTTGATGTTCTGCTCCAGGTCACGGTAGATGTTTTTGTAACTGAATCACAGAGAGGAGCCGGAAGCAGCCATCAGTCCTCCTGGCCCGGCCACCAGCCAGTACCTTGGAATTACAGCTACCCTGGGGCCAACCCACAATGGAGACCGCTCTATGTGACCCACATGCCAGCACGTACACAGTGTCCACAGAGGTGGGAGCACAACTTCTGACAACGTCACTTTCAGTTAAACCAGGTAGAGGCAGGTAAGCTTCGCTCTGTGTCTAGAGAACACAAAAGGCACTGAACGGATGGGGCTTGAAAAGCTGGCTACCATTACTAGACATCTGACCAAAGATGCCACAGGATACTGGTCACAAGGAGAACATGCTGAACAGAATTGTGATTCTCCTGGAAGCCAGGCTTCCTAGAGCCATGGAGGTTGGGGAACCCCGAAAACCACTGCCTTGAGATCAACTTCAAACCTGAAACCAAAAACATCCCCTGAAGCCTTCTGAAAGCAGCGCCACTAGTCAGGGATGCACATCGTGAGCATGGGGCCTTTTAAGATCTGTCGAGATGGGATCAAAGTGACAACAAGCAGCAACTCGAAAGACTGCGTGGGAAACTTGGGCAGTGAGTTTCTGGGGCCGGGGGGGGGGCAACAGTTTATAAGAGGAGGGTGAGACTAGGTCTGCAACGCAAAGAACGTCATCAATGCCAAGAGACTGTGCATGTAGACACTCTTGATGTATATTCTCAACAACAAAAAGAAAATAAGTTATTGAAAAAGGATGTGTATGTGCTGGCATGTGGGCCTCATGGGGCACCAGAAAAGCCCCCCACCAAACCCATCACCATGGCGTCAGTTCTGACTCAGACCCTGTAGGGTAGGCAGAATAGGACTGCTCCTCCACAGGCCCCCAGGGCTGTAAATCCGCACAGAGGCACGCAGCCTCCTCTTCCTCTCACAGAGCCGCTCGTGGCTGGCAGCTGAGCGCTTTAACCACTGTGCTGCCAGGGATCCTAACTGTTACTGTTGTTGTTGTTAAGTGCCATCGAGTCACTGCGACCCTGCTTAGAGTTTCCGAGGCTTTAAATGGTGTCCTGCTCGGACCAGTGGGCTGGGGACCCCGAGCATGTAATCACAGTGAGAAGACGTGCTGGATGACACGCCCGCCATGCCCCCCGCCCCCGAGACCTGGTTTCCAGCTAACAGGGAACCCACCTGGCCACGGTGGACAGGTCTAGGTGCCTCTGCACTTCCAGCAGAACCTCCCGGAAAAAGCGCAGCCGCTTCTCCTCAAACTGCTGGCATTGCTCGAACACCTGCTCCATGTTCTCCATGTACTGGGGGGTGCCCTGGTCCAGCTCCTTCAGAGACTTCTCGTACTTCTCTTTGGTCTAGAAGAAAGGGCACAGGCCAGGTGAAGTTCCACGCGCCCCCTAGATCATCGCCGCCAATTCCAGGGGCTGGAAGGACGTGTGCTGGGGCTTCAGGGAGCCAGAGGAGGGGGTCCTGCAGGGGGTGTTGTACTGCGCAGCGGCAGCTTTGGGGGGGGGGCGGGGCAGAAATGGGAGACAAGGCACTTAGGGGGCTCCAGGCTGGATGAAGCATGAGGCGTTGGGTTGTGGGGTGAAGGTGGGGGAATGAGGAGGTGAAAAGGAAGGCTCGTTTGGACTTTGCAAGGGAGCCTCTTGTCGCCAGATGCTCTGGGTTCCTAGGCCAGACGCAGGCAGACTCAAACTCATGCTGGACCATGAGGTTAGTGCCAGGGGGCTGGGATCTGTGCCCTGCTGGCCCAGGAACCCCACCTGAGCCGTGCTCAGTCTGACTGGACCTGGCTCAGACAGAATTTGTTTTACCAAGAGCTCTGGTGACTCACTAGGTTAAGCACTGGTCTGTTAACTGCAAGGTTGGCAGTTCTCACCCACCTGCTTCCGTCAAGATTTACTGTCTCGGAGACCCTAAGGAGCAGCCCTACTCTGTCCCCGAGCATCACTCTGCAATGGCATCAACTCGAGGCAGTGGGCAGAGTGATCCCCGGGGCCTGCCAACACCTGGGGACAGAAGGACGGAATCCAGCAGGCCTGAGCCTTGGTCTGTATGGGTGCTCACCCAGGTGGACCTGCTGGGTTTTTCAGGTGCCAGCCAGGCAGTCTGGTGGAAAACGGTCTGCTGGCTCTTCCGTCACCAAGGATCTGACAAGTGGGCCAACAGGCTCAGAGTGCACGGTCTGAAGACCACCCTTAGGCTGCATTTCTGCGTGCCACCGCCAGTCCGGACAGGTTGGGAAGCAGAGACAGGCAACCAAACCTGGGCTTCTCTCAGAGGGAGGCACCACCCACCCCACTCCTGGCCCCTGGGCAGCATGAGGGTGCAGGAGCCAGAGCAAGGGCTGAGCATAGGGTGCCTTCTGGATTAAGGCCGGGGGTCCAGTGACACTGCAGACCAGGGGGACCTGGGCTAGCAGAGCGTCCTGAGGGCTCCTGAGCAGACGGTGGGGTGTTGGGCCCTGCCCACAGAGAGGCTGCAATGAGCGTCCTCGTTCACTTGGATATACGCACACCTGTCCCAGTGAGCCCTTTGGCACACCTCTGGCCTGCTGTCTGCTTTTTGGCCAGGCCTCCAGCTCTGTCAGACACAGTTACTCGGGCCTGGCTGCTTCTGGCCCACGTTCCCTCCCAAGCCACTCCATCTGGCTGGGTCTACACTTGGCTTCTGCTTTTTCAGTCAGATAAACTCACTTCTTAGAGGAAGAATTCTGACTGTGTCCCCTGCATACTCATTCACTGACAGGACAGGCGGGCCTGCTCTACAATCCACGTTTTTGTCAGAAATCCGTCTTTTCCCCTGTAGCTTAGGTGTATGTGTGCTTCCCTCTGTATCCATTATACAACTGATTCAAACCTCGATTTCTTCATTTTCCCCTCTAGACAGTATCTACTGACTGTCTCTCACTCTAAATAAAAAACGACCAAGTTCGTCCGCTGACATTCCCTCACCCAAACTCTCCACATCTGGTTTTGCTGTGTTATCGTCCTGAGTGATTTGCAGCCACTCAGCATTTTAAATAAGACCCCAGACTCTCCATTCATGAGATTTCGCTGTGGAGAGCTGTCTCGGGCATGCAGATGCCGCGGAAGGGCTGAGAGCTCCTGAGCATGACTCTGGTCATGAGTGACCTTATCTGCCTCCACCAGTATCTGGCTTACTCGTCAGGTGACAAAACCAAACCACCTGGTGTAAACTGGGGAAGGAGCAAGCACAGTGAGGAACCATGACCAAGCAGCCAAGGATCCCAGCCCCCAACCCCCCGTAACCTGTTTGGGGGCCTCCACCCAGTCTCCTTAACACCCCACCCCTCCAGTTCCAGCCTAGAGGGCTCTCCCCACCACCATAGGCCCCAAATATCATCTCCACTGACACCTCCACCCCGGGTCTCCCTCACACCGTCCCCCTGGAACAGGCCTCCCCTAACACGTGCTCAAATCTGAGGGGTCTGAGGAGTTCAAGTCCCAGCCCCCACATCACTATGGTATCTGCCCCCCCACCCCTCAGGAAGAGCCAGGCCAAACTAGAAAGACGCAGGCGAGCCTTTGGAAGTGGCCACCAGGAGTGCAGCCATGCTCCCTCCTGGGCCTCGTCTTGACTGGTCTCAGGCCCTGTTCTTTGAAAGCGTGGATTCTGGGATACCTGCTCTCTCTGGCTGTAAATCAAGGACTCCCTAGGCCCCTACTAGAATACATGGGTCTCTGGGGTCCTACAAAGGCTGCCAGGACTAACCACGTGGGACTCATGTTCTTGAGTACTTGGCTCCACACTCCGCCGAGAACAGCCCTAGGCACCATCGCCCTCCTCCCAGTGCCCAGCACAGAGCAACAAAGGACGGGCAGTGAGTGGGGACTCGTTCCAACAGCAAGGTCGACTCTAAACCCTGTGACTCTGGAACCTTCCCAGTAGGAAGACCACCTGGGCCAGTGGGCACTTGATGGTGGACATGGTGTTTTCACAGCATGACCCCAAGTAATGAGTGTCCACTCGGCTGCCTGGCCACTGCCCAGCCTGCAGGACCGCTCTACCCTCCCAGCCCTTGTGTCTCCTCAGGTCACTGGGCATTCAAGGCCACTGCCGGTGACAGTCCCACCTCCATGCTCCTATACAAGCTGCCGGCAGCCGTCCCCTCACCTCATCCCCAGAGTACCATGACCCCCTCCCTCCCCTGGGTTCCTAGCACCTGGTTCCCACATCTGTCAGGTGGGCATCATAGGCCGGGTGAGGCAAGGTGCTGACCTAGACAGCCTCCAGCAAGCCACCAAACCAAGCAAGCACATGCAACATTCACACTCAACACGGGGACAAATGCTACAAGGCACCTCTCACCTTGAGAACATCTTGCTTGCATCTTTCTACTTTGTCTTGCAATTTCTTAAGCTGCTCGGGGTTCAGGGACGGGTCAGCTTTGCTGTTGCTTTCTCTCGATATGGCCAGCTTCTCCTCCTTGCACGCGGCATGGTAAGCTTTCTTTGCTGCTTCCACCTGTGAGAACAACGAACTCCTCAGGCCACATCTCTCAAGTTCAAAGCCTTGTCTAGGTAGTTCCCCAAGCGTGGGAAATGTCTGGGTTGTCAAGGGAGTGGGAAAAGCAACTAGACTCACAGACGCTCAGGCCATGTGCTACGCCAGGCACCAGGAGGTACTGTGCAGGACAAGTCTTGGTGCCTCACGAGTCTCATGCCTCCAGGCAGGAGACAAAGGCACAAGGGCCCCACTGAGAATGGCCATCAGGAGGCGGGCTGCGCCTCAGGAAAGAGGGAGGGTGACCACTGGTGGGCAGGTCATGGGCATCGATACAGCAGAGCCAGAGGAATTCTCAGTATGGAGACAAGGAGGCAGAATGTGAAGGAGGCATGAGAGCAAACCCCACGGGTATCTATAGGAAGAACATTCTAGCAAGAGCAAAGCCATCAGTGGAGGACTAAGGTGCACCTGACCCAAGTCATGGTATTCTCAATAGCCTCATATGTGACAATTAGACAGTGAATAAGAAAAACCACAGAACTGATGCATTTGAGTTATGGTGTTGGAGGAGAATATTGAAAGTACCATGGACTACCAGAAGTACCAACCAATCTGTGTTGGAAGCAGTGCAGCCAGAATGCTCTTTAGAAGCCAGGATGATGGCCAGACTTTGTCTTCCATATTTCAGACATATTATCAGGAGGGACCAGTCCTTGGAGAGGATACCATGATTGGTAAAGTGGAGGGTCAGAGACAGAGAGGACGAATCCTAAAGAGACGGATTGGCACAGTGGCAGCAGCAATGGACTCAAGCTTAACGACGCTTGTGAGCATGATGCAGGACGGGCCTGTTGTGTTCTGTTGTGCACAGGGTCACTAAGAGTCAGACTGACTGGGCGGCACCTAAAAACTGGACAAGTTCCCAGGGCTGGGGGTGGGGGTGTGGGGTGAGCTACCTCTTTCAGCTTCTTGGCCCAGGGCTTCTGTGCCTTCCGGAAGCCATCCTCAGCTTCCTTGGTCTCCTTGAAGCTGCCCATCATCTGCTTGTGGAAGGCCTCCTTCTGCCAATTCTTGATCTTCTCGAAGTCCTCATTCATCAGTGAGGCCTTCACCTCGAGGTGCAGCTCACTCACTCTCTCGGCCTCAGTCATGACAGCCAGCCAGGCCTTCTCCACCGTCCCATACTGCGGCCCTGGTACGGGGGAGAGGAGCCGGGGTTACTTGGTGCCAGGTGGCGATGACTACAGGGAGCATCCCACAGCCATTAAACCGGAATCTCAGGCCAGCAGCTCGGCTACTTGGCCACAGGCTTCCCTTTGATTGTCTAGATAGCTCTCTCAGTGGCTGTACCTTTTTAGTTCCCTGGGATGAGGCAAAATACAGAACTGAAGGTAACCCTGTCATTCTATTCACAGGGAAATTGGGGGGGATGGCACAAGCTCTTTAGAAAACTCAATGTCTGTAGTTTGAAAGTTGTAATCTGCTCAAGTCTGGCAGAAAGCAGGCTGCCCCCACCCACCCCTTCCTTCCTTCTGTGGCCGGCTCCCTCGAGTGCTGTCCCCTCATTCTACCAGACACAGGTCCTCCCTAGGGCCAGGCCCACTCTGACTTGTCCTCATGATCCCTACCTGCTGAGAGCCTGGCTCAGAACAGGCGCACAAACTGCTGGTGGAGCTAGGGACCCTGTCCTCGGCCAAAAGGCTGTCCCACCTTGGGGGAAGGGAGGAGACCCATACCTAAATCTCTACATAGTGGGGGGTTCCCGAGTCCCCTCAACCCTCCTTACTCACTGCTCCCAGGCCTTCATCCAGACTGTCTGTTCTGTTAAGGGGCGGGGTGGGGAATGAGTAATATGACAGATGTTCCAGGCCTGTCCTCAAAGGGGCACATGGCTCTGGGGCTTGGGGACAGCAGCAGTTTGACCTTTGGACCCATGTGTCCACATAGGGCATGTCAGGTCTGCAGACAGCTGGATGCTGACAGGGGGTCCTGGGCTGGGTGGGAATACAGCAGTCGTCACAGCTCCTTTCCGGGAGGGGGCTGTCCCATCTCCCAGGCTTGTCCCCTACACTCAGTCTCTGGGTACTGCTTGTTATAAGGCCGTGCTGGGCCCCTCGAGCATCAACCGCAGATGTCTCATGTAGAGCGGTACTGTCCCAGTCTCAGAAACAAAGACAAGTAGCTGGGGCCCCTCCTCCCGGGATCCAGCCCAGGCTCTGGCTTTTCCCAGGACAGCCAGCCACTGTGGAGAAGCCGGCCCCAAACACCCACCGAGAAGCCCCTACTGATGGGCTTCTGCCCTATGATCCCACCACCCACCAGGCCCCCTTTAGGACCGGGCAGTGAGTCCCACAAAGGCGGCCCCCAGCCCCCAGCAGCCTTCTGACTCAGCTTCAGTCTTGCCTTTCAATTTCAAGATCAAAACCAGCTAGACGTCAGCTGCTCACCTTACCTGGCCTGCTGTCTGTCCAAGTTTAAAAATAAACTACACTCAGACTCACAAACCAAGGCGCTGCGTGTATGTGCTAGAAGCTTCCTCAGGTCTGGCCCTTAGGAGCTGTTCTGAGTTAGACTGGCAAGTGGAGATGTGCCGGCAGAATGACAAGACTGAACAAGGGGTTCACTGCTGTTTGCAGAGGGCATTCCAATGGCCCTAAGAAAAAGGGTGGGCACACACAGCCTGGGCTGGTGGGCTTACATGCTGGGCTGCTCGCGAGACAAACCAGTCCTTGCCTCATCTGCACAAGTTTAAGAGGAAAGTGGTCCAGAGCCCCTAGCTAGAGGGGGCACCTACCCTTGTCCACCAGCTGCCTCCAGCGCCGAGCCCACTCTGTGAGCTGTTGCGCATACGCCTTCTCGATGCGAGCCCTCTCGTGTAGGCAGTTCATGAGGTCACTGCACAGCCGGTGACCATCGTCGATCCGCTTCACCGTCCGCTTGTAGTTCCCCACCTGGAACGCAGAACACACTGTGGGCATGGGCCCCCCAATGCTGCCCGAAGGCTTCTGAACAACCCAGACAAGCCTCTTCAGTTTATTACAAACAAGACCTCACGGACCAGCAGGCCGGCGAGGGGACTGGGCAGTGTGGGCAGGGCTGGGATAGAGGGACATGCGTGCAGGGAAGACCCATGGGTGCCACAGACAGCTCGTGGAGTGACATCTAAGCAAGATGGGGATTTCAACAGAAAAATCATGACTTTCAGAATTGACAGTAAACAACCCTACAAGTCACGCCTAGGCTTTCTGGGTCATTATAGGCACAGATGTGTTTCCAGAGGCCTCAGGTTTACAGCCACCACTGTCAGCAGGACCCATGGCCTCCCACTTTACTGAGCACCCGCCCCCACAAATATCACTCCCCCAAAATGGTGTATTGTAAATCCTACCACCTCTATGCCTGTGGCTATAATTCCACACGGAGAGTATGTTCACAGGCCATGTATGAGTCCGTGTCTTTTGAGATGTGAAAGAAATTAAACAAAGTAACAGAGAAGAACTAGGGTAGGAGAGATGCCAAGTCACATGGAGATGCCCAGGGAATCAGGAAGCCAGGAAGCATGACTGAAAAGGCAAAGACATTCCTTCAGAGGGTGGGAGCAAGGCGCACCGAGAGAGAGGGAGAGAAAGACTGAGGGTCTTTCCCTAGAGCTACTGTCCTGGCTTCGGACTCCTAGCGTCTGAAACTGTGAGGAAATAAATGTCTGTCTGTTAAAGCCACTCCACCCCCCCTTGCGGTATTTCTGTGTTAGCAGCACAGGAAGGAGGACGAATCGCTACCATTTTACAGGTGAGGAAGTGGAGGTTTAGAGAAAGCCGTTCCAGAGTCAGCCTCAGTGGAGGGGCGGGCACTGAAGGCCGCGTTACAATCGGCTTTGTGTCTAGTAAAGCTGAGACACTCCCTGCCTTGCTGGGGGGTGGGGGTGGGGGCAAGGTGAGTTTTGAACCTTTAAAAGGAGAGACTAGCTTATCTCAATGACAAATCTAATCGAATACCTGGGAGCACGGGGTGAAAATACAAGTGTTGTTCAGTAGGTTTCCTTTCCTGAGTCACAGGTTTAGAAGGATACAAGGTACGTATACTGGGCACCCAGAGGGCAAAAGTCAAAGAACAGATGGCTGACAGAGTCAGCCCCTCCCTCATACTGTCTTCAAGACTCTCTGAGCCCCATCTGTCAGGTCTATCTTTTCTAAATGCCCATCTGCCTGGCAAAGCATGCTGGGCATTTCAGCCGTGTGTGGTCGCAGGCTGGAAAAGGTCCAGGCAAACCTGGGCCCCGCTTTTGCAGAAAACAATCGCTTTCTCTTGGCACTGCAGGATGTCTAGACAAACCAAGCAGCCTGCTCAACTTGGAGTTCTCAATGGTTCAAACTACCCACTGTCTCCTCCTTGTGAGCCAGGGACCCAAGAAGGTCACGGAGACAGCTCCAGAAGAGGGTGGGACCCAACCTCGCTAAGGAACAGACTCACAGAGGGAGCCCTGTTAGGAGACAGCCCAAGAGAGGGCTGGGCTGTCCAGAGGTCAGAGTCCTCAGTGAGCAGCAAAGGGTCCTGGAAGTCGGCTGACCTGGATGGCCCCCTCTACAGCCCCTTGGCCCAGATGTGATCCAGCTGTGCATCCGAAGCAAGACTTGGCAGCCAGCGGGGACACAGATGCTGAGCCTGGGCATTCCACCCAGAGAGCCAGCAGCCCATGTGGGGAAGGCACAGCCAGAATTTTCACAACTCGCTCACTGCCCTTCACACAGGGCTTCGCTGTGGTTTTGAAATTCACAGCAGGAAGGAAAAAGACCCCCACCCCCACCCCCCAATCAGGACTGCTGAGCTGGTGGTGAGGGGAGCTAATGTAACTGGTCAGTACCCCCATGCTGGTAATCGCTGCAAAACCTGAGGGGCTTCAAAATGTTTGTGGAAAATGGAATCAACAGATAATGAAATTTCCCCACAAAGAGTCTGAAGCCCCTTTGTATATTCTGACTCTCCAGACACCTGCCCACCTAACTAATTTTTCAAAACCCAGGAGAAAGATTTGGGGGGAATGGGGTGTATTTCTCAACACGTCACATGCTGTCAGAATCTATCAGCACCTCAGTAACTGCTATTCAGATTTAGATGACAGACAGACAGACAGCTACCCAACTCAGGAAAACAGCCTTGCTGAGTATCCGCAATGATGCCGTTTTAAATTTAAATACAAGCTTTTCTGTGGAGGGCTCCCAGGGCTGCCTGCAGGAAGAGCCAGTGGCCATGCTGTGAGCAATCCTGGGTCCAGGAGGCAGCCTGGCCAAGCCCAGAGTCCAGGGAGATAACAGGCACTGTGATGGCCCACCTGCCTGCCGCCCTGTTCCATGACATCAGATCCACGCACAGGACATTGACTGTGCCCACCTCCATAAGCCACCACTGATGGAGCAGTCTGTCTGTCTGTGTCCCTGAACCAAGTCCTGCAGTCCGTGCTGATGCTGTGACAGACTGAGAAGGTACAGGGAGCCTCTGAGTGGTTCTGACAAATGTACAGTGTGGAAAAGGGGGGATTATAATGCCATGTTTCCATCAACATTTTGAAGCCCCCTCATATAACCTCAGCTTACCCAAGGTCTACAGCGTTTCCGTTACTTACCAAATTCCTCTGCCCTCTTACAATCAACTCCCTCCCGCTACAGCCCCCCACAACCATCGATGCCCAGGATAAATGGAACCCTTTGTGATTGGCTTCTGTCACTAGACACTGGTTCATGTAGTCATGACATGGGTCAGTCTGTCATTCTCCTACGCTGCTGTGAACAGGCTTGCCTTATCCTGTTGAAGGACAATTGGGCTGTTTCCTGTTTGGAGCCATTATGAATAAAGAGGCTAAGATATTTACCTACCGGCCTTTGTGTGTCCATGCGCGTTCACTTCTCTTATGTGAACACTTCTGAGTAGGGCTACTACGTAGAAGTGGACATTTTACTTTGTCAGAAATCGTCCAACTATTACCGAAGGGGTTGTGTTGTTCTGGGTTTCCATCAGCACGTGGCATTGCTGTCGGGACTTTAGTCACCCCTTGTTGCTGTTGTTGTTACGTGCTGTCAAGTCGGCTGCAATTCACAGTGACCCTATGTAGCGTTTCTGAGGAACAGCTAGTGACCTTGAACTGCCAACCCTGCAGTTCAAACATGCAGTCCAGTGCATTATCCTACAGCACCACACCAGGCCTCCATGTGGTATACAGCGGTATCTCTTTGTGATTGGAGCCCTGGGTAGTGCGCACAGTTAAGCACTTGACTACTCTCCTCTCACCTCTCAGTAGGTCAGGCTTCTAATTGGTCCTCTGTTCTCCTGTGCCCTAGGGTGTAAGAAGCCCACTTCAGACAAGCTTGGTTCTGGAGGTGGCTGTGCAGAGTCTGGGCTGGCTGGAGAAACAGCGCAGAACCAGATTCCGCAGGCTCTGCCTGAAGCCGGGGGTTCTCATTACGGGATGCACCAGCTCCGCGTCCTCCTGACCGGCCTTTCCAGGATCGTTTCCAGCAGGATCCAGATTGTGTCTGCTTCCACGGTTCTGCAGCCCATGTACTCCTGGCCACTACTTTCCATGGACACTGTGACCAAGGGCAGCAGACAAGTTGCCTCTCTGGAAACAGGTCAGGGGGCATCTGGTGGGCAAGAGAGGGAGGCTCACTGGTAGCTAGCTGTTCTGAGCCTCCTACCAGCGCCACACTACTATTAGCAAAGGGCACCATTGCGGTACCCATGTCACCAGACACACACACACACACGAGGGGGGCGCTGTTTCCAAAAGGTCATGGGAAAATGGAATTAAAAAAGAACGGACCACACAGAGGCATCTAAGTAGATAGACCTGCTGTTCTGATTCCAAAAGGCCACAGCCTTAAAAACCCTATGGAGCACAGGTTCCACTCTGACACACTTGGGGCCACCATGGGTCCGAAGCAACTTAAGGGCAATCTAGGGATAATGAAATACATTGCTTTAGGAAAACAATACATCATACATGCTGAATTCTAAAACTCATTTTAGATGAAATAAATCTGCATTTTAAGTTAAAAAAAAAAAAAAAGAAGAATGGAATTTTCCAGGAACCTTTTGAAGCCCTGTTACATATATATAATTAGGATCCCTGGAGACTCAATGGTTAAGCACTTGGCTACTAAATAAAAGGTTGGCAGTTCAAACCCACCAGTGTTTCAACAGGAGTAAGACCTGGAGTTTAGTTCCCAAGGACAGTTCTACTCTGCCACATGGGGTTGGACGCTGTGGGTTAATGCGCTGGAATGCAAAGTTGCTTTGAACCGCAAGGTCAGTGGTTCAAGCTCACTAGCTGCTCCTCGGAAACCCTATACAGAGTCGCTATGAGTTGGAATCAACTCACTGGTATTTAACAACAACCTATATGATTACAGTTTTAAACATTAAGAATTTCTGTTCAGCAACCCACAGGATAGGAAAATGAATGGAAAACTCCCAAATATGGTCTCCCACCAATGTGGTCTGCCCACCACTCATCTGTCAGTTTGTCATACTGTGGTGGCTTCCAAGGAGCATTCTGGTTGTACTGCTTCTAAAACAGATTTGTTTATTCTTTTGGTGGTCTATGGCATGTCTAATATTCTCCTCCAACACCGTAACTCAGATGCATCAATTCTTCTGTGGTCTTCCTTATTTAATGAACTATTGTCATATGCATATGAGACTAAGGAAAATATCATGGCTTGAGTCAGGTATACCTTAGTCCTCAAACTGACATGTTTGCTCTTTAATACCTTAAAGAGAGGTCTTGTGCAGCAAATCTGCCTAATGTAATACGTCATTTGACTTCTCAACTGCTGCTTCCAAGAGTGTTAATGATTGATACGAGCAAAATAAATCCTTTAACAACTTTACCTTTTCTCCATTTATCATGATGTTATTGATCGGTCCAGTGGGGAGGATTTTTGTTTTCTTTATATTG